TGCAAATGCTGGTACTGAACGTAAACAATTCACAGAAAATGCCTCTGTGGCACTTCAACAGCCAATATTGACGCATGCGCATAATAAATGCCCTCCTGTTCTCTAATGCGCATCCTCGATTTCTTCCTTCGCCCTAAAAAGAACCGGCGCCGGCTATGGAAGAGTTAATATTAATAGTTTCCTCAAAGAAAATATAAAATCGAGTAATACTAGAGACAAGGTGAAAACAACGAGAACGGTAAAAAAAACAACAACAACAGATCTAATTAGCAAAAAACAAACTTTGCACGTTCAGCACACTTTTTTTCTAATTAGCAAAAAAACTTTGCACGTGCAGCACACTTTTTTTCTAATTAGCCGAAAAAACAACTTTGCACGTGCAGCACACTCTCACTGCCGCTATCTAATTGTCATGTTTTTCTTCCAGCGAAATTGGTTGGCCATATGATTTACCGCCGAAACGAGCGGGGTGCTTGAAGTGCAAAAATTTCACCTCAGCTACAACATACTCCTCCCCCGACTAGCTGACTCCTGACTTCCCTCTCCCTCCCCCAGAGTCTGTACGGTCAGCGTTCGGTCGTACGCTGACGTCATGACCAAATTTTCTTAGCTATGGGGCTCCGCTCGCGCGCGAAGTAACCGTTTAGGAAAAACTTCCTTGACAATGACTCTGAACGTGAGGAATGTAAATGTGATTCCAATTGTTGTAGCTTATTGATATTTACAGTAAAAGACGATGGTATCAGTTCTCAATAAAGAACCAAAATACAAGGTGGAAAAGCTCAAGTACACGAAGATGGAAGTTGGGCAGACGAGGATCAAAAATAAACCATCCTGAATCAGTCTACACGAAGTTTTACAGTCGAGATTGATTAATACAGTCTATCATTTATTAGTGAAGAATAATAAAGGGAAGGGGAGGGGGGCTTATTAACTTTCTTCCCCTGAAAAGGGGGCACTTATCAGAGAGAAGGCGCTTATTTTAGAGGGGGTGGCTTAATAGAGGATTTACTGTAATTTCGTGTTTTATGAGACGGTAATATTTCAATAGAGAAATATTAGCCTGAGATCACGCCCTCTCCCTACTGTCCCTCTATGCCTCTCAAGGGAAGAGTTTTTTTTCCCACTCGCCTCGCCCGTTCTTAAAAAAGAAAAAAAAAACGCGTGATAGCATGTTAGGTTATTTAACACTTTCTTTAGGTCAGGGGGCTTTCTCGGTTTTCAAAAAATCTAGGGTTTGGATTGAAAAGTAGCCTTTTTAGTCTATAAAATCATCGATTTAAGAAAGTCGCAAAATTTGCATTTTTTCAAAGGGTTTTGGTCAAAAATTTGTCATTTTTTCTTCATTTCAATTTTGGCGAAATAGGACCAGAAAAAGTGTTCGTGGACGTAGTAAATAGAAAACTAGCCTCTCAAGACTATAAAAGCATCGGTTTAAGAAAGTCACAAAATTTGCATTTTCCCAAAGGGTCTAGGCCATGATGTTGGTCAAAAATCTGAAATGTTTTCTACTTCTTCTTTTTTGGCGAAATAGGCCGAGAAAAGGTGTTTGGTGACGTTTTAGAAAGAAAACAAGCCGTTCTAGCCTATAAAAACATCGATTTAAAAGAGTCGCAAAATTCGCATTTTTCCAAAAGGGTTAGGCCATGGTTTTGGTCAAAAATTTGGAATTTTTTCTTCTTTTAGCAAAAAAAGGGCAAGTAAAGGTATTTGGTGACGTTTTAAATTGAAAACTAGCCTTCCTAGTCTATAAAAACACCGATTTAAGAAAGTCGCAAAATTTGCATTTCTCCAAAGGGAAAAAAATTGTCATTTTTTCTTCTTTTCGTTTTTGGCAAAATAGGGCCAGAAAAGGTGTTTGGGGACGAAGTAAATAGAAAACTAGCCTCTAAGGACTATAAAAACATCGGTTTAAGAAAGTCGCAAAATTTGGATTTTCCTAAAGGGGCTGGGCCATGGTTTTGGTCAAATATTTGAAATTTTTTCTTATTTTCGTTTTTGGCAAAATAGGCCAAGAAAAGGTGTTTGGTGACGTTTAAAATGAAAAGTAGCCTTTCTAGTCTATGAAAACACCGATTTAAGAAAGTCGCACGATTTGCATTTTTCCAAAGGGGTTAGTCCATGGTTTTGGTAAAAAATTTGTCATTTTTTCTTCCTTTCGTTTTTGGTGAAATAGGGCCAGAAAGGTGTTTGGTTACGTTTTAGATTAAAAAGTAGCCGTTCTAGTCTATAAAAACATCGATTTTAGAAAGTCGCAAAATTTGCATTTTTTTTTCAAAGGGGTTAGTCCATAGTTTTGGTCAAAAATTGGAAATTTTTTCCCTTTTGCAATTTTGACAAAATAGGCCGGGAAAAGGTGTTTGGTGCTGTTTTAGATTAAACGCTAGCCTTCTAGTCTATAAAACCATCGATTTAAGAAAGTCGCAGAATTTGCATTTTTCAAGGGGTTAGTCCAGGGTTTTGTTCACAAATTTGAAATTTTTCCTTCTCTTTGTTTTTGCCAAAATAGGCCGGGAAATGGTGCTTAGTGACTGTTTCAAGCGACTTATTGCATAAACAAGAACGCTCTTACTAGCGTTGAGTCTCCCTTGCTTAGAGCCCATGGCGCTCGGAGATAAGTTTTGTTGTCAAAAGCGCTGGTGCTGTTATGCTACTTTTTTGTTTTGAATACAAAACGAATGTTAAATGTCATTATGTTAATCCTCAAAACGTAAAAATTGCAAGGAGAGACAGGCCGCACATCTTAGTTTCACACCGGTGTGAAACTTTTGAAAACCTTTTACATATTGATACGTCTCCAGTGACGAGAACTCTTATATGTTTTTTGCGGCAAAAGCGAGCGAGAGAGCTGGGCCAAACTACCGGAACCGGAAATGAGAAGCGAAGGACTTTGAGAAAGTCTAATGACCGGTTTACTTTTATCACTGATCTGATCGGAGACTGTTTGTGACCCAGTAAACTCTGTGCGCCACCAAAAACGGTCTCTGTTGAAGGGTGTGGCCATGCGGGACTGAAGTAGTTTCCGCCAAACAATTCTGTCATTTTCAGATGCAGCACTTGTGACATCAATTTTTATGTATTATATGCTATATTCTTTAATATATTTTCTCCTTATTTTAACTTTTTGGCCATCATGAGTTAGCCTGGGCTTATATCAGTTACTGTTTTGTTTAGTTTATTCATTTTAAATTTTTACTCGTATCAAATTTCCAACAGTACCGCTTTTTAACTATATTTACGTATTTGTAACGACTTTCAGTTTCTTCAATAAATCCCTCGAAGAAGAACGGCTTGACGTTCGGAACATCGGGAATATTCAAGCCGCTTTGTTCTTTCCTGTTTTGATATTATAGTTACTTAACTAATAAGCGACTTCCCCGAAGACGAAGTTTTCTTCAGAGTGTTTTACACAAACCTTGCTTTGTTACATCTTCGAACAGTGAAAATCTAATAAGTACCCAGCCTTGAATAAGCGCCCACTCTCAAGGTCCAAAAATTTAATAAGCGCCCAGGGCGGTTAATCGAATAAATACGATACTGAAATTCATACTAAAGAGCCTGTAAAAAATTCGCGTTGAGTTCAATGGATAATCAATAATTTTTTTTATTGCTAAAAACAATCAATCACAGGTAAAAAAGAAAAGGACAGAGATCTACAATGTGGATCTGCTACTTGTAAATCATCATCTATTTACTTATTCATTTGTTTATTTTTCATTAAAAGGGTACGAAAGGAAACAAAGACGAAATTCGAGCACAGACTAGAAACTGCCCACCTACCCCTCCCCTAAGCCAACATTTTGCCTTAAGTTAGAAGTGTTATTAGAGACCTTTAGCATAGGGTTTTTCATAGAAAACCGCAAACCACAAAATGTCACGTGACCATGTTGCCTTAGGGGAGAGGTAGGTGGACAGTTTCCCAGAAAAGTATAATGATCCGACTTGCACATAAATTACTAGGAATTAATTTCATTTTTGTAATTAACAATCGTTTACGGCGTTCTGCATGCCAAGTCCAATATAAAATAATCGTCGGCGGTCTCTTTCAATACACAGTGTTTTGTTCGATGATAAGTCTTAATCTTCGAGTTAAATACTCCGGTCAGCAAGAGAAGCGGGAGTTAGAGGTTGATTATTTTGCTCAGTCAACATTCTGCAGAAAGAAATTCACTCAGCACTTTGAACTGTGAGAGTACCTGAAGCTCAGCAAGAGATGTGATGTAAAATGCGCTTAGCTTTTGAGCTATTCGTCACGGAAACTGGGTCGAGTTAACTTTCGCAAAGGCTTCTGGGACACTTACTAGGGACTGGAGAAAAACGTGCGATCCCATAAACAACTGCGGGCACAGTTCGGCTCCAATTCCCTCCTCATTTAAAAAGTGGCGAATAGGCTAGCTTGAAGAAATATATAAACAAGGTCGACCTATATTTCTTAAAAAACGTAACAAAACAGTAAAATCACTTGTCCAAAAAAAGTCACGATCCTTCACGCATTAGCTTTCTTTCCCTTCCGCACCAAACTTGCTAATGAGGCATTTTCATCATCGCCATCGTCGAATTCTTCTTATATCTCTTTATCTCCCGCCGTCGTCTTTGTATCTTTCTTCAGTTTCGCCTCTTTATCTGTTTTCGTTACATCTTTTTCACGTTTATCCCTCGCCGCCTTTGGTGCATCTTCTGGCTTCTCATTTTCTACTTTTGCTGTGTTCGCTCCTTGCTCTTTTTTTTACATTGTCTGCTTTCTTCGCATTTCTTTCCTTCTCCTTTTCTGCCTTTGTTGTTACATCTTGTGGTTTCTCTTTGTCCCTGTCTGCTCCCTTAACATTTTCACGTTCTTCTTTCTCTTTCTCTACTTTCTTAACATCCTCCTTCCCTTTCTCCTTATCAGCTTTTTTAGCATTTTCTTTTGTTTTTTGTGTCCTTGTTGCGTTTTCTCGTTTCTCCTCGATTACTTTCTCAACATGTTTTTCTTCCTGCTCATCTGCTTTCTTTGAATCTGTTTTCCCCTTCTCATTTCCTGCCTCCTTTGCGACCTCCTGTTTCTCTTTTTCTTCCTTTGCCGTATCACATGCTTTCTCTTCCTTCTTATCTGCTCTGTTTCCTTTTCCTTGTCTCTCTTCCTCTTTATCTCCTCTCTTCACATCTCCTTGTTGTTGTTTCTCTGCCCTTGTTACCTCTTCTCGTTCTACGTCTGCTTTCTTTGCACTTCCGTCGCCTTTCCCCTTGTCTTTATCTGCCTCTTTTACATCTTTGCCTAGTTTCAATTTTTCCTCCTCTACTTTCGTTTCATCTTGTTTTTTTGGCTCTTTACTTGATCTTTCTACATCTTCTGTTTCTCTCCAGTCTACTTTCTTTTTACCTCCGTCTACCTTCTTGGATTGGTCTGCTTTCTCAAATTCTCCCTTTTGTTTTTCTTTCTCTTTAATGGCTTTATTTACATTTGTTTCCATGTCTTTTTCTAACCCTTTGCTCGGATCTTCAACTCCTTCATCTTTCTTTTTCTTGTCTTTCTTTACACTTTTGTCTCCTTCGTCTTTCCCTTCATCCCCTTTCTTTTCATTATTTTCACTGTTTTTCTGCTTTGTTTCTTTGTCATATTTTTCTGATTTAGCGTCAGTTGTACTCATCTCTTCTACATCTACATCTTCGTCGCTTTCCTCTTCCTAACAAATAAAATCGACATGCCAAAGTGTAAAGAGTTTCTGTATGGTAGTGGTGGTAGTTAAATAGTAACGCTAAAGGGCTTCAACCAATAAACAGCACCACAGCAAAGAACTTCTCAGTAATTTTTTAGCCCCACACCCACCCCCCCTCCCCCGGCCCCCTCCTAGAATCGCTTGCGGAGGAGGGGTATAAGCCAAGGGCTTAGAAGCAGCAGTTTGATATCGTACCCCCGGAGGGGTATTCCTGGGAATTCGTGGTGAGGGTGTGCCGCCCGGTTCTCCAAATCCTGACCCAATTTCACACCCCAAAACTGACATTTTCCACACCCGTTTTCAGACCTGGCGTAGGCAGAAATTATGTTATCATTAAAGCCAACTCAGACACTGTAAGGACCTCCACTTGGTGTTCTCATAAGTGAGAGTCCGAAATAGCGGGAGTTTATTTCAGTCAAACGACTGAAATTTATTTTTGCCTGGGATTTAGGTGCTGTGGGTATTATCGTAGTGTCCGTTATATCGAAGTGTCCGCAAGGCGAGAGTTGACTATACGTTGATTAGAGCGCCAAGAAAAAGATTTCTTAAAATCCAACTCGAATTCGAATGTTACTTTTTTTTCTTATTCGTTTGGAATTGAAACGACATATACGTTCACGTGATTCCCACGAAAACCATACCCGAATTCAGACCAAAATAAGCAAAGTCTATAACCGTTTTCCGACCAAAACGGCGTAAAACCCCAACCCTTTGGAGCGGCACATACCTATAAGGCAAATACAAGGGAGTACCTCCCCTCACAGTTATCGTACGACATATTCCTCCACGTGTTATCCAAAGTTCTCAATCACTTACCGATTCGTCACATTCTGTGCAGAACCACAGGTATCCTCGCGTCTTGGGGTTGGCCTACAAAATAAAAATAAAAAAGAACTTTGTTTACCTTTAAGTTTATGTACTAAGCTGGAGTTTTAGGCCATGGTCCCTTTGGGCTATTCTGGACGACTTTGTGATATTCAGAACGAACGGCATTACATTTTGAAAACAGATAAGTCTTAACGAAAAGAAGCTCTTTCCTTCCTACAAGACAGTAGAGAAAAAATAACGATAACTCCAAATTTTGTTTTGCAAAACACTATCATGTGATAGGACAGCTGACTGGGTTTCATTTAAATGGTCAAACTAAAGGATTTAATTCACAGGTTCAAAAGTTAGAAGTACACTTCAACTTTGTACTAACAATTTTGTACGAGGAACGTAGTATGACGGTCACGACAAAGTAAAGGTTGCAGCTTTATGGTAACGTGTTACTCCGGGAGCTTTTCATGAACAGACGCACGGCAACATGCAGCCTAGAAGATTTCTTCCAGTTGCGGCCATTTCAAGTCGCCAAGAATACTTTTCGTGTCGGGTTTTTCCTTTTTCTTGTAAAAAGCTCGTGATAAACTTTTTTCGAGGACTTTACTTGCTAAATTCGAAATAATCTCGCAACAACTTTCAAAACCGAGCAACTTGTGGGACAAAATAAAGAAAAAATTTTCCCCGTGATGTCATCTGTATGTCTGCACTCTAATATTTCATAGACAACGACCAATCACAGGGCTCGTGGTATTCAGGCTTTGTAAAACTAGTACGCTATTTGATATCTTGTAAAAAAGCAAAAAACGGTCTTTGCACCAAAATAATTCCAAAAATTATGGTTTAGTTTTGTTATTCAAGCTTATATTTAGGCCGTTTCCTATTCACTATTGCTACGGATGGAAAGGATTGACACGGATTAAAAGTTTTTAAAAAGTGAGCCAATTTTTTTTTTTTTTTTTGCTATGCCTGCAAAAACCAACAAAAAATGCTGGATAATTTACATTTCTGGGAATCTGCCCACCTACCCCTCCCCTAAGCCAACATTTTGCCCTAAGTGAGAAGTAAGTGTTAATGTTGGCTTAGGGGAGGGGTTGGTGGGCAGATAGCTTGTACTCGCTGAGGAAATTTGATTGATATCTTATTCATATCTCGATAAAAGCATTTTGTGTGTAGTTAAAGGCACGAAGTAATGACTTCAGCCCAGAATTGACCTAAAAAAGCGATATCCTCGTGACACGGCCCCTTTAAAACTGGACTTACTTTTATCGGAGGATCAAGGCATTGGAAGTGATAACAAAGCTTGCACTGGTCGCATCTACATAAAAGTAGTAAAGAATAAGTAAGTGAGTAAATAAATATATAAACAATGTCATCAGGCCTGGCACTGATCAGGCTACTTAAAGGTCAAATGAACCAAAAAATTGACATATTTTGTTTTATCGCTTTACCTTCACCAAACACTAAAAAGAAACATCCTAAGTGAGATTTGGGTGAGGATTTTTCATCCCAAGCCTTTATAGAAAGATTAAAGTTCAAAATCCGAGCATTTCCGAAGACTTCACGAAAACGTTTCTGAAATGGCCGCGTGATAGACTGGAGACTTCGTGACGTCAATGTTGGTCTTTCAGGGCGGAAAAAAAGTTCTGCACAAGCTTCTGCGCATCCCTTATCACCTGCGTTTGTTTGTCTCGTTCTGTGAGAGTTCTGACTGAGACTGAATGAAATACACGAGGTGCGAACGTTTGCTCCTTGTAAAGGCTTTTTTTTGTTTTTGATATTGTTGTTGTTTATTCGTCACTTGAAAATTACCAAGAGAAATCGGAGACAATGGTTATGCCAAATTCTGGGGGGTAAACAAGGTGCATTATTGTCTCGGTGACAATGGTGAACTTCCCAGCATACCTCACAAGATTAGAATTGGTGCCGCTCTGTTTGCAAACACAACACTCAGTGCGAGAGTCTTCAGGCTTTTTCTTCTTTTCAGGTGGTTCTATGCTTCTTCGCCCAGGGCGCCTTCCTCTTTTCGCTGCAGGCGCAGAGCTTTCTTCCAATTTTGGCTTCTGTGACGAATAAATCACAGATCTTGGGTTGGATGTGATTAACGGCCACAAATACATGCATAATTTTTAACAGAAACCTGTTTAAGATGACCACGTAGTTGCATCAAACATTGTATTTCTAGTGTATAGGGGTAGATATGGCTGAGTTCGCGAGCGGGCAAGTTGAAGCGAAGCCTGTTGTCTAATTGGCTATCCCAGCTATGGATGCCACAGCCAGAGGTTTCTGAAATTCCCTGACTTTTCTCTCACAACTGCAAATTTCCCCGACCAAATAAATTAACAAATTCAGAAATTAGTCTTTAATGGACTCAACCGCCCCACCCCTCACCTCAGTCCTCGCTGCGATTGATTTATGCTTTCAGCATGTCACGTGGAGTGTCCATGAATGGATAAAAAAAAAATGTGTACTCTTAAAATTTCAAAGACTTTTCAAAGACTTAAATTTTTCCTTACTCAAAGTGAAATTCTCTGACTCTTGCCTGGCCTTGACGAATAATTTTCCTTAACCATGGCCTGACCGATAGTAACCATGCGAGAGGAAAAGATGAGCCCCTCCTGCACGCTCGGTGTTGGTCCCGCAATAATAAGTTCTCTTTTTGGCCATGTAATTAATCCTTTGTATATTAATAAAGCTTGTTCCATGAAGATGGCTGGGTATTCATCGTTCTTTTTTGCGTTTTTATTGGCCAATATCTAGCCATGTTAACCACACCCATGGACAATAATGCATTTTTCCTACCGGTTTCACGACAAAAAACATGCAGGGGTCCGCAATGCCCCAACTCCTAAGAACAATAAAAGCTGTAGGATATGAGGAATAGTGACAATAGAGGTCCTGAAGAGGGACAGGCTACATGAACCAGAGAGCCCTCGCTTACTTTACTGTCCGATGTAGTGGTTTCACCTTCTCGTTCTCCACCTTCTGTTGCGGGCGTTTTGCGCTTGAATGACTTTTTCAGCTTGCGCTTTTTGACTGAAAGGAAACGCAAAACGGATTAAAAGTTCCGAAGGTATACTGCTATGAAACTCGCCAAGAGCAGAAACGGAATGTCGCGGAAGAGAGAACATCAGTACGTCTCCTCCTTACATGATATATTAGGGACCTTACGAACCGATAACGGAGACGTCCGTGAAGACGGCCCTGAAAAATAGACCACACATCCTTTCTACCATTTTCGCGATTATCCCATTAAAGGAAGGGAATTTAGGTTGGAATTGAAGAGAGGGGACTGCGCCCGAGATCAGACGGAGATAGTAGAATTTATCGCCTTGCACAACTTAATAACCAATTCCACAGGAAAGAACTGCCGAGTAGCTTCCACTCAAATGGTCACGTGGCTCCACCTACAAGCTCTAAAGTCAGAATTGCATTTAATGTCTCCAGCGGTTAACTCCGATTGTGCCAGGCTTGAGTCAGTAGAAAAGATGAGAGTAGTTTGCAACATGTATTCCTGATGCAACTTGACTTACCTCTCCCTTGTCAGGAGTGAATTTAGTAGGTTCTTTGATGACCCGTCTTTGGCGGCCTTGAGAAATGGGTGTGGTGTCTTCAGTATCGACTTCCATTTCGTCATCATCATCGCTGGGGTCACACTCTGAACACTGCCTGTAATAAAAAACAAATACGCTAAGGCTTGAAAAATTATGCACCGCGAAACAGTGCTGTTCACTCGGATGAAGTGCACGTTTATTTGGTGCATTTCGATCCACTTTGTTTGTTTCTGTCTTTCAAGGTTCGTTGATTGTGATCGCCCTGTTTCGGACAATAGTCGACCAGTTTTCTTCAATTATTTTTATGATCTTTATTATTCTTGTCTCTTGAAAGAAAAAAGCAATGTCTGCCTCCTGCTCTCTACAAAAATACCACTCATCATCACGATTTCCTTCGCTATTCTTGAGCAGTCTAGAGTCATTCTCAGTTTTGTTTTTGCGCGCCAAGCTGGGCGAGTGCGTTGCATCGTCGCCGCTGAAGGGTTGAAAGACTAACGTGAAGAATGCGAGCAATTGCTTCCCACGAAAAATAAAGCGATCGTAATTGTTCAAGTTGGTCTTTAGTTATTTCATAGCGTTAACGACCTCGTCCTGTCTGTGAAAGAACCAGCGGTGCAAAATAAGATATATCTAGTGAGTCATAGAAGTCTACATTGTTGCGGCATTCTATCCGACTTGAAAGCAAATCAATTATGTGGGTTAAAGAATTCTCCAGGTGCTACACAGGAACTTGAATCGCATTTGACGGAATACCAGTAGCATTTGTGCAACCACTAATCGACTCCTCGTTTGAATCAGAACGTCTGTCTCTAACTCATCAGCACTAGAGCCAACAGATTACGAACGCTTTTTAGATTCTGTAAGAAAAGCGCGAACCCACGTTCATTCCTCTCTCGTAACACCACTCCACGTGACCGACGAGTACGAGCCGCCATGTTTTAGGTGCATAACCGCAGAGGCTTATGGGACATTTGCCAAAATTACGAAAAAATAATTATGACTAACAAAAAAATAATTCTCGAATGGAAAAAATTAAATTATCATTATATTATGAGAAGCGTACAACAAAATCAATTAATTATCCAAAAAACATAATTATAGCACACAAAAAACTAATCCGCAACCGTAAAATAATTTGCGTAATGCACAATAATAATTTTAAAGAAGCATAATAATAAAGACGGCACATAAAAAAATTAATTCCTGGTGAGGAAAAAATAATTGTGACGCATGGAAAAGTTAAAAAGAACACGAAAATAATTACAGGCATAGGTAAAAATAATTACAAACAGACAAAATATTAATAGCAGGTACTCATCAAATTAATTCATCAAGAGGGAAAAGACCAGAACGGGCCTTCATAGGTTAGTGGCGCTGTCAGTTGTTGAAGACAAGCGTCGAATTGTTTTAAAACCTTGAAAGAACACTCATTAAACAACGCATTTACGCCTATTTAACCCAAAATAGGCCTAAATAGGTCTTCTATGGCTGCACATATTTGCCGGTGGATGAAAGCAATTTTGAATAAGAAAGAAAACCATTTCGCCTTTCCCGTCAAAAGAGAAATCGAGACCGGTGTACTCAAGGGATATGATGGAACTGGCGAACGAGTTCAATGAGTTCTTTACTTCTGTGGGGGCAAGGGCTGCAGCTGAATCTAAGAGTCTTGCTTCAGTTAACGTTTTTCCAGCGTATAAGCCCCCCTCAGCCAAGACCTTATTCCAACTAGAGGAATTCCGATTCCGCGCAGTTACTACCTTTGAAGTACACCAGATCATCTTGTCTTTTCCTTCAAACAGGGCACCGGGAATGGATAAGTTACACATGAGTGTGATCAAGGATGCCCTACCAGTTATACTTCCAGTCTTGACAGAGCTTATAAATAGATCGCTTTTAACATCAGTTTTTCCATTTGCTTGGAAAGAGTCCGTGGTAATATCGATATTAAAGGAAGGGGATCATGAGGTTGCTAATAACAACCGGCCAGTATCACTGTTGCCAGCTCTGTCTAAGATCTGCGAAAGAGCAGCTCTTAATCAGTTAACGGAGTGCACAACTCGTCAGAACTCTTTAACTGAACATCAAAATGGAAACAAGAAGAAGCACTCGACAGAAACACTCCATATTTTCATGTCCGATATGATTCTCGAAGCAATGGATCGAAAACAAGTCGCAGCGTTGGTTCTGTTGGACTTGTCAAAGGCCTTTGACAGTATCGAGCTTGGGATCCTATTACGTAAACTTCGAGAACTGGGTGTGTCTATACAGCCTATGGGATGGTTTAAAAGCTATCTGACGGACAGGAATCAGCGGGTGAGGATTAGTTGTGAGGTGTCAGATCCTCGCCAGGTAGCTTATGGTGTACCTCAAGGGTCGATCTTGGGGCCAGACCTTTTTAATATATACATCAACGATCTTCCAGCTGCCCCTAACCTGTGCTTACTAAAGAGTTACGTGGATGATTCCCAGCTCTATCTCTCGTTTCCTGTCCAGGAGACAGCCATGGTTGTGGAACATTTGTCTGAAGGTTTGCAACGGATTGCCGCCTGGTGTTCCACACACAGCTTGCTGATTAATCCAGATAAGACTAAGTTATTGCTTCTTGGAACCCCGCAGATGTTAGCTCGTGTGCCGGAGGGTTTTGGAGTTACGCTACTCGGTAAAGAAATTCTGCCTTCTCGTTCTGCAAAAGATTTGGGGGTCATTGTGGACTCGCGCCTTAGTTTTGACGAACATGTGACCGGGATTGTATCTAAGTGTACAGGTAGCCTGTGCCAAATCAATCGTGTGAAACATTTGTTTGATAGGTCTACGCTCATAACCATAATAAATTCATTAGTGTTCAGTAAGCTTTTCTATTGTTCGTCCATGTGGTCTAGTACAACAAAAAAGAACATTGCCAGGCTTCAAAAAGTTCAGAATTTTGCGGCACGGATTGTGACTGGCGCAAGAAAGTATGAGCACATCACGCCGATGTTGAAGGAACTCCACTGGTCGCCGGTTGCTAAGCAACTGGAGGTTAGAGACATTTTAATGGCTTTCAAATGTATAAAGGGATTAGCCCCACCATCCTTGTGTAATAGGTTTTCGACAAGAAGCCAGGTGCATACTAGAAATACTAGGAATAAAGATAAACTTCATATACCATCTTATCAACAACAGGTCAGCGATCTTTCTCATGTAGGGCTGTTCAGCTCTGGAATGACCTTCCAGAAAGTTTAGCAAACATAGAGTCATTTAATGTTTTTAAGAATGCGATTAAAGGACGTGCACTTGACGAGTTTTTAAGCCATTGACTTTCAATAGGTGTAATCATGCATATTTTATATTTTTTAAATAATATGGTAATGTTTTATCACTTTCAAATGTTTATTTTAGATTTCTATTGTTCATATTAGATTTTATTGTAATTGGTATGTGAAAACCCATTTTAATTGGATGTACCAATAAAGTTGAGTGATTGATTGATTGATTGATTGATTGAAAGCATTTTAAAATGTTTGACGATTTACTGACCAATCAAGCCTTTTGTCTCCAGCTGTTTAACAAAATTAGCCTATAACCGATGAGTCTGATTGAGACTTTTAAACTAAAGCCACACGCAATAAATCATCTGGCAGGTTTAACCATGACCGAGCAGTTCTGTACTGCAAAGCTACATGAATTTGAGCAATTCGTTCTCCAAAAGAGAGATTCTATGCTGGCCTTTTGTGTTTTACACCTGGCGTTTTCAGTTGTGGCCACTCTTGGAAATCTTTTAGTGATCCGGGCCTTGTTTAACGCCTCATCGATACCAGCCACCGTCAAAAAGCTGTTTTTAAGTCTGGCTTTCTCTGATCTTGCCGTGGGGTTGTTTCCGCAACTCATGTCCGGGGTTATCAGCGCCGTCGTATTGAAAATGGCATCAAGTGAAGAAAACACCTTTACCTCATTTTGCCCAACGGTTCTAACAGTGTATTATTATCTTTTGTTTCTTCTCGGCGCTGCATCTTTCCTAACTGTTACTGCTATCGCAGTAGATAGACTTCTCGCTGTTTCGCTCCATCTGCGATATCAGGAACTTGTCACTTCCAAACGTGTGATCACTATATTGGTGTTTCTTTGGTTGACGAGTTGCATCACTGCCTTCATATACGTTTTCCTGCCCAAAGGCAGTGAAACGGTATCTGGTGTTATTTCATTTGCAGGACATATTTTGACAACAGTGGCTTACGTTCGCGTTTACAAAATTGCAAAATCTCATCAGAATCAGATCAACAGTCAAAATCAACTGCAAATTGCCGAAACAGTGGAGGTAATCCGACAAAAGAAGTCTGCCTACAATACTTTATTTTTCTATGCAGTTTATTTAGCTTGTTATCTTCCATATCTGCCCTCCGCAATATTGTACTTGCTAAACAGATCGAATATCTCCTTTTTCGTACCAAAATGGGCCTCAATATTCTTGCTGTTTCTGAATTCCTCGTTAAATCCTTACGTATACTGCTGGCGATATCGAGAGATCCGGGAAATTGTGAAGAGCACAATAAAGAAACTATTTCGCATGAAATAAAAAAAGGAAATTAGTTTGACCGTTTTAAAGTCCTATGAAACGCCAAGTATTACGTTACACACTTGTTTACAAGAACAAAAGGTTGTATGATAGTAAAAAGTACAAAGAAAAATCTCTCAGAACTTGAAAGTGGTCTTTTTGATGGAGAAAACAGAGTGATCGAATAAACAGTGACAATGGTTTCAATTTTAATGGTTTCGTGAGAAAGGTTAGATGTAACTATTTGATGATGTGACCAATCAACTGCAAGCCCTTCGGCGCCACAAGCGCTAAAACTGAGGTGCTACTGGCCGGAGCTACTGCTCATTGGCGATTTCAATACCAGAGTTGGATCTGATCACCAAGCCTGGCCCTCTTGTCTAGGACATCACGGCTCCGGAAAAATGAACAAAATGGACAAAGACTTTTGGAACTCTGCTCCTTGCGCAATCTGTGCATAACCTACACCTTCTTTGAAGGTAAGCCGCAACATTGTGTTTCATGGAAACCTCCTCGGTCCCACAGATGGCATCAGCTTGATCTACTTATCACCAGACCACGCAGTCTGCTCAACGTTCTCTCCACTCGCAGTTACCACAGCGCCGACTGCAGTACTGATCATGTCCTGGTATGCAACTCCACCGCGCAAAGAAACCAGGCCATCCCGGCTTAAACACTGCAAGCACTT